ACAGACGGCAGCCCCGCTGCAGGCCCACCAGAGGCTTTGCGGAGGAGCTACGGAGACCCTAGGCTGGCACCGCCTGCCCCAAGCCCCTGGCAGAACAAACGGACCCGTCTTGACCTCTCGATGCCATCGTCAGGCTCGGCTAATTTCACAAATAATTGTCCACGTACATGCCCGGCCCTCTGCCGTGGACGACCTGCACCTGATACCTCAGTCAGAGAAACGCAGGGGTCAGGGCCCTGGGCCGGTGCGTGCACTGGGAACTCAGCCCCACCCCCAGGGGACCCAGGCCACCATCAGGACTTTGCAGCTGTGGGGCGGAGGCACGCAGCAAGGGTGGGCTCCCGTGTTCATTCTGAAGGCACCCCTGGGCCAGGCAAGGTGCGAGGTGCGCCCCAGCTCCGTGGACAGCTGCTCTGTGCTCTCTTGCCATGGCCAAGGCTCAGATGGCAAAGTCTGATGCGCAGAGAGCCTGGATGCACTGGAGCCCTGATGTGCTGAGAGCCCCGATGTGCTGAGTCCGAATGTACGCTTTGCCCAGCTCCCGGAGTGGCTGTTTGACCTGCCCTTTACTGAGCGAGGAAAGCGAGGAGACCGGAGGCCCTGCTGTGCCCGAGACCCAGGCTGGGCAGGGCAGGGAGAGGCAGGCCTGGGATGGTGCAGGTGCTCCAGTGTCAGGTCACCGGGAGGCAGGGAATTGGGTCTGCGTTTGAAAAGCCCTCCCGGTGCCTGACTCTCCCACTGTCAAGCCGAGTAGAGACCTGATGGAATGGGTGGGCAGGTGCTCAGCATGGAGCCACGCAACGCTCAGGCCTCCTGTGGGGCAGCGAAAGGGGCCAGCACCCAAGCCCGGGGTGGACCTGCAGCACGGGGCACCGGGAGGTGCAGGAATCACGTGAGTCCCCGGCTGCAAGAGCCAGCAAGCCCACCTTCTGGAGTCCCGCCCGCCCCATCTTCCCAGATACCTCTGGTACTCCTGGATGGCGGCCACCACGCTGTCCAGGAGCGGCTGCAGGTCGTGGGGGAAGACGATGAGCTCCTTCAGCTGGGCCTGCAGCCAGTGCACCCGGGGCTCCTCCGAGGCCAGCGCCACCTGCGTCGCCTGCAGCACGGGACAACGCCCCGGGGGGGAGGAGTGAGGCTCCATGCAGGGGAGGGTGTATGCAGGGGGAGTGAGGCCTGTGGGGGCCAGCCTGGGAAAGAGCTGTCATCAAGGGCCGAGGCTGGGGCCCCATCCCCGAGCTCCAGCCCATGACCTGGAAGGCCATCGACATGCGCTCAGTGCAGGGCAGGCCCAGCGGGGCCCCCACCCCAGCTCCCCTGCCCAGAGGTGGCCTCGTGCTTGGTGTTATCCTCCTGGTAACAGTGACCCTGCTCAGATCCTCCATTCGGGAGCTGGGCCTGTTCCAGTTGGACTTCCTTTGGGTGGTTGAAGGGTGTTTTGTTTTGTTTTGTTTTGAGAGGTTTTTGCCTTAGGGTGTGTGTACTCGCTGGAGAGAAAGATGGAGCCAGTGAGAAGGAAAGTGAGAAATCACCCCCTCAGGGGGATGGCCACACCATGTGCCTGGTGTGGTTTTCAAGCCATCAGGTCCGGGGTTTGAACCACAGTCAGCCGTGTGGGAGTCCAAGCAACATAACTGCTATGCCATCTACTAGCCCCCAGAGATTGGAGTTTTAAGCTCAAGGGGGAAAGCTCAAATCACGGGCTTTTCAGCAGTGGCTGGGGTAGGAGTGGCCACTGGTCAGACCACGGGGCACAGAATCTGCTGGGCCAGCCCTGCTGATCCTCAGAAATACTCCCATCCCTGTTGAGTTAGCAGCGCAACGACAGCTGAGAAGGGTTCACAGATTAAGCCGCAGTCGGTCTGCGCGAACCGGCAGCTTGCAAGCCATTCATGACGAAGTGTGCCCTTCAGTGCCCAGGCAAGCAGACTGGCCTGCAGGCACTCGGATAGGCAAGGCAGGGTACAGAGGAAGGGCAAGACCCTGGCTGCCCTGGGGAGAGCCGTCCAGACCACAGGCGCACCCACATCAAACCCAGGAACACCCAGGCCCCTCAGTCCCCAGGAGCTACAGCGTGAAGGATGCTGCCCCAGGCTAGGCAGCCTGGCCAGACCGGCTCCTCCAGGCTCCGTTTCCCACCACGAAATGGGTCAGCACCTCCCAGCTCTTACAAGCCACATCTGCTCCTACAATGCTGTGCTCCTGGCCCAAGACAGGGGCTGCCTGGAGCCACCTGGCCTCGTCTCTGAGCAACTCCCTGTTGCAGAAGGGCTGGGGGCCAGGTCAGGTGTCTGTTCCCTGCTATAGAACACATGGTGAGAAGTATAAACGGTAACGTGAGTGCTAGTTTAAGAACAGAAGTCGGGCCAGACAGTGGTACAACAGTGATGCAGCTGGACCTTCGTGGGAAGGTCCTAAGTTTGAGTCCTGGGGTCTCCCCCTACATGCTGGTGTACACATATCTGTGATCTGGGCTGGCTGGGCCTGGGCCGATCATGGTGTGGACATCTCAGTGGGGTGCTTCTCTCTCTTTTTCTCTCTCATAGAAGAAATAAGTAAACTTTAAAAAAATAAATAAGGGGGACCAGCAGTTGATGTCATGGCTGTGTCGCTGGGCTCCCATGTAGTCAACCGTGGTTCGAGTCCCGGACTCCATGGCTTAAACTCACGCCAGGCGCATGTGCGTGTGTGCCCAAGATCCCGAGAGGAGAATGGAGGAGAAGGGATTATGGCGTGGCCATACCCCCTGGGGGGTGATTTCTCGCTTTCTATCTCTCTGTCTCTGTCGAACGCATGCGCCCTCTAGCAAAAACCTCTCCAAAATAAAATAAATAAGGAACAAGGGCCAGCTGGTGGCATGATGATTAAAGTGGCTAGATCCCACATGGCTGACTGCCCAGTTAGAGTCCTGGACCCAGAGGTTTGAAAACCATGCCAGGCATGTGTGCATGCAGGCCTAAAATTCCAAGAGGAGAATGGAGAAGAAGGGATTGCAGTATGGCCACCTCCCTGGGGAGGGGGATTCTCGCTTTAAAATAAAGAACTGTAATTCCCTGTTACTGATTTCTGCTTCTATGACTTGACGGTATTGAGGTAACAGCTGAGTCAGGAGGGGCGGAGACCCTGGGGGAAAGCAGTCAGCCTCCTGCTTCAGGGAAGTTTCCCTGAAACACAGTCTACAGGGTAGGGGGTGAGGCTGGCTTTCCCCAGAGGTCTCTGAGGTGGGAAGGGGCGGGCTTTTGAGCACCGCCTTTTGGGCAGACACTATTCTAAGCATTTTTCCATTTTCACATGTTCACAGGGCAAGTGTGAGGTCCTACTACTGTCACCCCGTTTCATAGCCCGCTGAGGTTAAGTCACTCTCCCGAAGCTCTCCAGTTGGCAATGGGAGGAACCAGGACTTGAACCCAGACAGTCTGGTCCCAAGTCCCTGGCCTTAAACCACAGCACCACACCGCCTTCATGATTCTTCCGTAGGAAGACGACCATTGCAGGGTGGTCTGGCCTGCCATGACGCTGACCGGCAAGAACGCCCTGCCGGGCACACGCTGCTTCTCCTTACGGAGTGCCTGCTCCGGGCAAAGATGAGGGAGAAGGAGCAGGCGACAGTGGCGAAGGAGAGGCGAGGTCTGGCAAGGCCTTTTCTTTCAGAAAAAAGAAAGATTCCCGGGAACCAGCAGTTAGCGTAACGGCTATGTCGCTGGACTCCCACATAGTCGAGCACATGCGCCCTATAGCAAAAATCTCTCCAAAAAAAAAAAAAATGTTCCTGTCTTAGAAAAATCTGAACAGTCGTTTTCATATTATTACAACATGTGTATACATATGCACACACCTGCACACATATGCCTACATGTATGTCATTTCCTGATCCCACTATCTACGTCTGGAGTTTTCCTACTGCATGACTCTTCAGCATCTGGGACTGCGGAGTTGGCCGACCATGGTTCGAGTCCTGGACCTGGAGGCTTCCGGTCCCCTGCTCCCCCCCCCCCCCGCCTCTCTCTCTCTCTCTCTCTCTCTCTCTCTCTCTCTGTGTGTGTATGTATATGTCTCTCTCTGGTCAAATTAAAATAAATGAATGAATAAATAAAATTAAATAAATAATAATTTTTTTTAAAAAATAAAATAAAAATCCCAAATCTCTCTGACCACAGGCCAAACGTCCTGCAATTACACAGGGGAGTGAGGGGCATGTCCTCTGATGGACTCATCCTGCCCTTCCTGCCACGGGAATCTTCTGCTTGGCAGGACTCTCCTTGTGCTTACCCTTCAACGTCTACACTGGCATCCTTCCTTCTGATCTCGTATGTTCTGCTTTGCCTGCGGAGTCTCTCCCTCACCCCACCAATCGGGCAAGGGAATGGCTTCGAGCCTGACCTGGCTGCCCAGTCCACCTGGGACTCACCGTCACCAAGTGAGTCTGGAGTACTGGGGAGAAAAAAAAATATCTCCCGAGGCCTGTGTCCCATACAGAAAACAGAGACAAGACCCCAGCTTGTCTACCACTCACTCAGGGAACTTAGGAACCAGAGATCCAAGAAAATTGCAGTGAGTGCGTTTTAGGCTCAGGGTGGCTCCCACCACATACAGGCCCCCAGAGGCCCCGGCAGCACCTGGCCCGCCCAGCGAACGCTGCTTACCCAGGCACATCTCCAGCGAGCCACCAGCTCGTCCTCAGTCCCCTTCTTCGCCAAGGGCTCCAGGTCCTTCTGGGCCAGCCTCTGCAGGCTTTTCTTGAACTCGCCGAGCTCAGCCTTCAGCTGCCGGACCTGCTGCTCAGAAGCGTCCCTGGACTCGAGCAGGCCTCGCAGCTGCCCGTCTCCCTCCTCCCAGAGGGCCCGGAGCTTCTTCAGAACGTCCCGCATCTCCTCCAGCTCTCCCGAGATCTTCTCTGCACCCAAAGGAGAGGTGTTCTGGATGACACCCACAGACTGCTCCTCCAGCCTCTTCAGAGACTCCTCGCCCCTGGGAAACTCTTTGGCAATGTCCTGACGGGGCAAGGGGGTGACAAAAACAAGCGTTTGCTGCATTGTTCAAAGCAGACCTGAGAACTTCACGTGGAACACCAGGTCTTAGGTTCCTGGTTAGAGCCTGAGGGGCATCCGAGGGGTGGACTCGGGGAATGCCCGCGCCGCGTGGGGACCTACTCCCTCCTGAGTCTTTCCCGAGCCATCTGAGAATGTCTGCTGGGTAATTCTGCCTCCAGCCCTCCGATGTTCGCTAATCTCCTCTCTAACGGAGGAGAGGCAGAGCCTTTGGCAACACCAGAGAAAACAACCTGCCGGCTCCTTGGGTTCGCTGTGCTTCTCTGTGTGGTTATCTGCTGATAACGAACGGGTGCAGACTTTTCCACTAGTGACGGCAATACGAGTTTTCTTCCTGAAGAAACGTCTACCAGCCGTGTAAATGGGAGTCCATTTAAATAGTACGGGCACTGCACAGTTGTGGCAAAACTGTCAAGTGGCTCTAGAATATCAAAGACCATCTGCATGTACACTTTACTCTGGGTGGCAGAGGCTCACTGGAGGCCATGCAGCAGGTGAGGAAGGCCAGTGTAGACTCGGGATCTCCCAGCTGCAGGCCTGATGCCTACACTGGGGCCCCTTGCCCTCAGCACTACTGGATCCCTCTTTGTTGGGGGGCTGTCCTATGCATTGTGGGGTGCACCAAGGCAATCCCCTGGCCTCCAGCTGCCAGCTGCCAGAGCAGCTCCCACCCCTAGGTGTGATAAATAAAGTCCCAGACATTGCCAGATGGCCCCCATTTGAGGCCCACTGGTCTAGACCGCGCTGCTATGACCCCGGAGTGCAGATTGCCCCACTGGCTCAGAGTGCCGGGGGCAGCTGAGGCCCCAGACATTCTGTACTAGATTTTAAGCTTCTTCTCCCGGGGAAGTGTGTTCCCAGATGCCTGGATCTCCTGTGGCCCCCAGCACCATCTAGTAAATACACCGTGAGCTCCCACAGTGGGCCCCTCGGGTGGGACCCAGCTGGGGCTTACCTGCAGCAGGGACAGGCGGTCCTCGGTGGTCAGTTGGCAATTCTGCCCCAGGCAGCCGTTCACCTTCTCCACCACCGCCCTCAGCCACTGCTGGAACTCGTCTACCTCCACCTGGTACTGCTCGTGCTCCTGGGCCACCCGCTCCAGCAGGTCCACCCGGTCCTGGGGAGAGGAAGGCCCGCCTACCATGAGAGTCCCCAGTACAGGCCGACCTGGCCTTTGAGGTCAGAAACCTGCAGCCTGCCAGGGTGTGTGGCCCGGGTGCATGTACGTGGCGATGGGGACCCTCACCCTTCCCTGGAGACAGAGATCCCGGAGGCTCTGTCTGCCTTCATAGCTGCATCCGGAGACACCTGAGCATGCTGGCGCTGGGCCTGTCACCTAACAGCCGACTTTCTCTCCCGCCACGCCCCAGGAACGGCACTCACAGCGGGCATGGTGACGGCGAAACCGCCATGCTAACTGCCACGAGCACTGCCCGTGAGCACCCCGCGTGTGCCGGGCACTGCACTGAGCCTGACACACACGCTCTCCTGAGCTCTCCTGACCACCCTGAGGGGTGATGCCGTTATCATCCCAGTCTGACAGACGGGGACACCGAGACTCAGAGAGGGACATGATGTGACCGAGGTCACCCAGCTAGAGAAGTGGCATGATCCAAACCTGAGAGGCAAGGCTGGGCTGAGTGGCATCCCCAGAGCCATTGCGCCGGTGTCCCTGGGGCAAGTGACAGCGGACAGGCTGTTCCTGCTATGACGTTCACAGCATGGACTGGAACCATGGCTGTGTTCAGCCAGTCCCACTGCAGGCCTGCACACAGGGGCAAGGTGATGCTCTGAGGGAGCTGACCTCTGGGAAGACGCCAGGGTCCCTGCTGTAAGACGCGCTCTCTCCCGGGGAGTGTTTTCCACTGGCCGCTGCACTGTCTCCTAAGCCCCTTGGTGGCTCCCCACTGCCCCAGGCTCACACCCCAAGTCCTGAATCCTGGCATTCAAGGTGGAGCCCCACCATGCATCTCTGATTGCGACTTGACCCCAGGCACCGTCTTGGCACAAAATTAAGCCTCTGCGCCATCCCCTCGCCTGGGCAGTGCGGCAACAGCAGCGCCGGCTGACTGGGGGGAGTAGATGCAGGGAGTCGCAGTACACAGCCCCGAGAGCGGCAGCTGGCAGTGGGGTAGCCGGCCCTCCATAACCCAGAGCCACTGTCAACCCTCCTGCTTTCCGGTGTTGTCACAGCCCCTGCGGGCACCCACCTGGCCACACTGGCCTCCAGGCCCCACCTTCTTCCTCTGAAGCTTTGCCCACTGCCCCGGGCTAGATGAACGGCCTTCCCTATGTTCCCGAGACACCCGTGCGGCTTGTCCGCCCACTGTCTACGGTCACCACTGCTGGGGCGGGGCCTGCATGCAAGCCCTCCCCGGGCCTAGCTCAGCACAGGTTCTACGGCTGCTTCCAGGACAAACCACCGAAGAGCAGAGTTCAAGGAAAGTCAGAAAAAGGGAAAGGGGAAACTCCCGAGGAAGCAGCTGTCCGAGCCTGGGACCTGACAACACGGTCTTATTCAGGCGGCCACCGGGAAGCCCTCCCGCTCTGCGAACGTCCCAGCTGGAGCTGGGAGGGCCCACGACTTGCAGCCCTCACAGACGAGGTGCCAGTGGCAAGTGTCGGCCTTGAGAATCATGCGCAGCCCAGGATCGTGGTCTGTGTCTGCCAGGGCCGCGTGGTGGCTGCGTTTGGCTTTGCCCACGCTGTGGTTTCTGTTACAGCACCTTGACCACTTCTGTGTACCCAGTGTCCTGGGCCACACGCGAAGGGCGGCTGTGCTCCAAAAGCTTTAATGAGGGATGCTGAGATCTGCCTTCACGGCACGTGCGCACGCCACGAAACATCACGATTTCTTGTCAGCCCCTGAAACACGTGAAACTGTTCTTAGCTCACAGGCAACAGAGTGAGGAGAAGGCCAGACCAGCCCGGGGCTGTGGGCCTACTGATCTCTGGCCTGTGCCCCACAGTGAGGCCGCGTCTGTCTGTGAAGCTAAGTCAGAGTTCTCCTCTGGGAGGACAGGAGAGTGGCCCAGACACTTCCCTCCCTTCTCCACACAGGCCTCCCCTCCTTTGTGAAGCTCCTCCCAGATCTAGAAATGCAAGGGGTCTCTAAAAAGTTTACAGAAGAACGGATATTGGGAAAGACAGATGGATAGTGTTCAAAAATTTTTGCATGAAAATAAACTCGCACTTAAATTCCATTTTCCATGAACTTTTGAAGCTCCTCATACTCATTATTTAAACTTTTGCAAGGCCAGCTCCCATAACACAGCCACAAAGCACTGAGGCAGAGAAGTTGGATCCCATAAGACAACCGCAGTTCGAATCCCCGATCCGATCGGCTTGAGGATAGGCAAGCTTGTGCAGGTCCAGGATCCGAGGGGCCAGAGGACTGGAGGAAGCAGATTGCGTGTGACCAGACCCTGTGCAGGATGCCTGTCTCTGTCTCTCTCTTGTCCTCTCTGTCTCACAGTTACCTACACATGTATATGCTCTAGCATGAATAAAGAAAAAGCATTTTAAAAATAAATAAATTGGGACCAGCAGTTGGCGTAATGGCTATGTCACTGGACTCCTATGTAGGCAGCTGTGGTCCAAGTCCCAGCCCCAGGGGCTTAAACTCACACCGGGTGTGTGTGCATGCATGCCCAAGATCCCGAGAGGAGAATGGAGGAGAAGGGATTGAGGCATGGCCATCCGCCCAGGGGATGATTTCTCACTTTCTGTCTGTCTCTCTCTGTCTTTCTGGCAAGCGCACGTGCCCTATAGCAAAAAACCTCTCCAAATAAATAAATAAACCTTTGCAATAATCATCACAGGTAGGAGGAAATATCCCCATTTTATGCTACTTCTTGATAGCCCCATTTTAGAGATGGGGAAGTCAAGGCTCATGACCAAGCCCTTCAGCGAGGAGCTGAGAATTTCTATCAGAACACAGGTGCAGGATGAGCAGATGGCGTAATGATTACATTACTGGATTCCCTCCCACGTAGTCGACCACGATTTGAGTCCCAGATCTGGTGTCTTAAAACTCACGCCAGGTGTGCGTGCATATATGCCCAAAATCCTGAGAGGAGAGTGGAGAAGGGATTGCAGAGTGGCCATCTCTCCAGGGGGGGATTTCTCACTTTCTGTCTTTCCAGCGAGTGTATGTGCCCTATAGCAAAAATCTCTCTATAGGAGACAAAGAAATCCCACAGGTGCTGTTTGAAATTGAAAGTGGCCCACAGGACAAAATGTCCCTTCGTGTTCCCCACCAGAGGTCCTGAGGACGGTGCTGGGGCTGCAGGCCCAGGCACTATGTGCATCCACCAAAGCCCTCCCAGAGCTTCCTCCCTCTGCAGGAGAGGCTCATTATGAAACCAAGTGGGTCAGGAATACCGAGCGGGTGGAATGCCTGGCTGACGCTGATGGTGATAAATGGGGCGGGAAGCCAGCTCTCCGTGCAAGTGCCGGCCTAGCCGTGAAGGATGAGGTGCTGGCACTCGGCGGAGTCCAGAGTAAATAAAAGTCTCCGCAATGGGGAGCAGGCGCTGGAGAGGCAGGCGCGGGCCGGGCAGGGATCCAGATGAGATCCGTGCCCGACATAACACTCAGTGCAGCCCAGCCATGACTGGAGCCCGGCGTGCAGCAGGGTGACGGGGTGACAAATGGGAGGGTGCTTGGCCTTCTCATTAGCCCAACAATTAAACCGTCTACGGCCGGGCAGAACTGTCAGCCATGTCAAAACCCAACTAATTAGATGGGCGGCGTGGATTTATGCCTCCGTGAAGGGCCATATTCCGGCTTGGAGTCACGGCCCAGACGGCGAGCTGGCCTTCTCTGAAGGCCTCTGGCAGGGTGGGGAGAACGAGGACAGTATTTGCCTGGCCCTTGAGAAAACAGAACCAGCGAATTCAAGCCACACACACACACGCACACACGCAAACACACACACACATAAAGACACCTGGCAGCTCCCGCTCTGCCTGCACTGTGCTTGCAAGTGCTTGGGGTGACGTCGGCTGGCGCTCGCCTCTCCGCACAGCCATCCCCTACCCAAGAATCTCTCTCTGGGGCTGGGTGCAAAAGCCAAGTCCAGAGGGCCCCCAGGGTGCTCTGTGGTCCTGTCTCCATCAACACCAAGGGCTTTGCCAACTAATAGGTTGGATGTCAAAAAGGGTGGCCCCTGGGACCAGCAGTTAGCATAATGGCTATGTCACTGGACTCCCACGTAGTCGACCGCGGTTCGTGTCCTGGACCCGGTGGCTTAAAACTCACACCGGGCGCATGTGCGTGTGTGCCCAAGATCCCGAGAGGAGAATGGAGGAGAAGGGATTGCGGCGTGGCCATCCCCCTGGGGGGATGATTCTCACTTTCTGTCTCTCTGTTTCTCTCTGTCTGGCGAGCGCAGGCACCCTATAGCAAAACAAACAAACAAACAAACAAACAAACAAACAAAAAACCCTCTCTCAAAAAAAAAGGGGGGGTGGCCCCTTAACTAGCAAGACATTGGAAACGGGCTGTCACTCAATACCCCAGAGACCCTCCCCAGCTGAGCTGGCCTGGACTCCAGGGAAGACTCCGGGACTGGTCTTTTCGGGCTGCCTCTTCTAAGGTGGGGGGACTGCCTCGGGAAGGTCTTTATTGAGAAGTGAGGTGTTCGGAGGGAGGGGCGAGATGACAAAGCAGGTGGCAGGGAGGCATCTGGGACATCCAGGATCTCTGGGGGCCATTGGACCACCACAGTCCCCTACCTACCTGGGACAAAACTGGTTGCTTCCCTTCACTGGGGTTGTGGGCTGGATATACCTAAGAGGCTGATGCCGGGCCGACCTCCCATGCTGCTGATAGGGTCTCAGAAGGGAAATCTCTTGCCAAGCCCCTCTCCGAGTTCGGCCCTCTCATAGCTCTGGGTCATCTAAAGGTCACAGCACCATCTGGGAGCCCAGTGGAAGCCCCAGCTCCAGGCCGAGAGAAGTGCAGGCTCACACAGCATTTTGAACTCAGCCTCCAGCTCCTCAGTCTTCACAGCCTGCTCTGCGAGAGGCGAGAGACCTCCACCCATGGCGTACCATGGCCTCCCACCCGAAAGCTAAATGTGCTCCTGTGAGAAAGAACAGTGCTCCCTAACCCTGGGACCTGGAGGGGAAGCTCACGGTCCTGGCTTTGGGCACCAGCTACACCGTGCAGGACCCAGTCAGCCCACAAGTAGCGTTCCGGTTCCAACTCCCCAGGCTCTGAATGGGGGTCAGAACTGACCAGCTCTGGAGACCCCGAGGGCTTCCACCCACCAGCTTCTTCTCCCGTACCATGGCCAGGCTCTCTCTCAGGGGAGACCCCAGCTTCCCGCCCCTGGACCGCCAGCCAGGCTTCCCTGGGGCAAACCTGGAGGCAAGCGCCCCCTCCTCCAGCGCTCTGGACCCCCTTGCAATTGCCCAGAACAGCCAGGACCAGAGGCCCAGAAGGTATAGCCCACCTGAGAGCTGCCTGGAACCCTGGTTCTTTCTAGTGGGCCACTGGTACTGCCTTGTGAAGATTACATGTATGTAATATAAAACTATATATATAAAACAATATATATAAAACAAAGGCCAGTAACATCTTCTCTATCTACTTTATAAGTAGGGCAGGAAAATCAGATGAGGTCAGAGATGCGAAGAGGCTTAGAAGATATTTGGGTCAGCAGGGGCATAGTGGTTAAGGCACTGGACTCCCACATGGCCAACCACAGCTGAGTTCTAGACCTGGTGGCTTAAAACTCAGGTCTGGCACATATGTGTGTGCACTCAAAATCCCAAGAGGAAAATGGAGGAGAAGGGAATGTGGCACGGTCATCCTCCCAGTGGGTGATTTCTCGCTTTCCCTCTCACTGTCTCTCTCTGTGTCTCCAGTGAGTACATGTGACCCATAGCAAAAAAAAAACAACA